GATGAGGCCAGGGAGATGGCTCAGTGGAATAAGTGCTTCCTTGGCAAGCTCAAGGGCCTGAGTTCAATCCCTGGTTCTGTCAAAAAAAAAAAAAAAAAAAAGAAGTAGGAAATGAAAGAAGGGGCCACTGTGCTGGCCCAGGGTCTGGTAAGGAGGCCCCATCCAGCTCTCACTTACCTTCTCCCTGCAGCTACCTGAATGACCTGGAGCGGATTGCGCAGAGTGACTACATCCCTACACAGCAGGATGTGCTGCGGACCCGTGTGAAGACCACGGGTATTGTGGAAACACACTTTACCTTCAAGGACCTACACTTCAAGTGAGCAAGTGTGGGGGCAGGATAGAGGGGCAGCATCTGCTAGCCTTGGGAAGCAGAGGGAAGCTGGCCGTGTGTCCAGCAGTCCCATTCTGAGGTTTCTCGGGCTGTTTTAGGAAAGAGTGTTCTCACTACCAGGTTACGTCAGTGGTCACCTCCTGCCAGTGGCTTGAGGCCTCTGCTGACCCTGCCCTATGCAACTACAGCTTGCCCTGCCCTGCCCTTGCCATGCAGACAGGCCCGATCCCAGAATCAGGGAGAAGTGGTCAGGTCTGGTAGTTCTGGAAAGCCAGGTGTGCCACTCTGGGTAGAGCTCTGTTTGCAGCCACTGGGCCTCCCCTAGGCCTCCCTTTCCTGAAGCTAAAGTGACCCTATATCTGCAGGATGTTTGACGTGGGTGGTCAGCGGTCTGAGCGAAAGAAGTGGATCCATTGCTTTGAGGGTGTCACAGCCATCATCTTCTGTGTAGCCTTGAGCGCTTACGACTTGGTGCTAGCTGAGGATGAGGAGATGGTGAGAGGCTGAAAGGACACCCAGGGTACTGGGGGCTGGGGTGGCACAATGTGACATCACTGAGCTCTGTCCTGCCCCCAGAACCGCATGCATGAGAGCATGAAGCTGTTTGACAGCATCTGTAACAACAAATGGTTCACGGACACGTCCATCATCCTCTTCCTCAACAAGAAGGACCTGTTTGAGGAAAAGATCACACACAGCCCACTGACCATCTGCTTCCCGGAGTACGAAGGTAGGGTGTTTCGGCTTCAGTCACAAGAGGAGCCTGTGGGCATGGAGTACCTCTGGACAGAATCTCCGTGGCCCTTTTGTTTTTGTTTTAAAGAGAGGGAGTCTTAGAGGACTGGGGAGATGGCTCAGTGGAATAACTGCTTGCC